GACTTCCTATCTTGGTTCAACTTTAATGGATAATGTCTGTGTGCATTATGCATGAAGTAAGGATGGAACATACTCTTTTAGAAAGGAGAATGAAATTTTTTCGATTAGGTTCTTTCAACAGTGCCACTTCTTTCCGTATGTTCAAAGTGTATCGTCTTACCCCTTTATCAGGTTACTTTCCCCAACCTGATCTATAGCTGCCATATCAAAGGATTAGATTAGTACAGAAGGTGGTTGACATCAAACTGAATTTTAATTAGAAAATCAAATTTTTTTTGGGAGCTTTCTCAACTGAGAGTAGTACTACATAACATAGCATGTTCTGATCAGGGAAAAACTTGCATTTTTTGTTATGTACAGCCTGGTGGTAGTTGCCTTAGTTGTTCAAATTAACATAATCGAATTGTCAACTTGGATTACTTGTTAGCTGTCTTTATTTGGTGTTAGTTGTCTCTTATACTGAATCCAACTAACGATTCTTGTTGAAGTTGACAAAAGTTCTATATCATGACATTTTAGGCTGTTCTAGTTTAGACATCCAGAAAGAGGAACCTAAGTTTACTATGAGTTTTTTTTGTATATATACCCATTAAATCATCGATATTTGCAAAATTACCTCCCAAATATCATAATTTGCTAAATTACCCCCAACCCAATTCATCAACATTGAAAAAAAATACCCCTCACTTATTATATGTTAGGGAGTATACTCGCTTGGTATACTCTTCAGTTCTGTTAAATTTTTTAAAATAACTAATAATCCTTGTCAGTTAATTACTTTCAAGTTACAATCTTAAAAAAAAACTCAAATGTCACCTTCTTTTTATTTGCCCACCTAGCCATTGCTCTTTTCTAGCCAAAAATAAACCAACTCAGCCCCCATTTTTTTTCCTTCTCTAGTGTGGGTTTTGGCCTTGGATCTCATCTTCAGCCAGCGGATCAAGACCACCTTTCTGCTTTGGAATCAATGAAATAACACAACCTCCTTCAACCCAGTTGAGTCAAGACCCCCACAAGCTTCTCCCTATACTTGCTTGTGATGACACCCTTTGTTGAGAAACAACTAAAACCACCTAAAGATGAATCAAGTGGGCAACTTGCTGTTAAGGCTGATTTTTTATGTTTTAACAAAGGGAGCAGTAAACAATACTTCTAATCCATTTGATAACTAACACCGTTTGAACTGGGGGGAATTTTTTCAGTGTAGAAGATGAATTGGTGGTTGTTCTGCAAATACTGAGATTTGGATAGTGATTATGCAAATACCAATGAGTTAAGGGCAAGGTTTTAAATATCGGCCGATAATCCTATATTATCCCCGAGTTATCGGTTTTGAGAGCTTTTCGATAGGATAAGTTGAAATTTAAATCGGTTATCTTTTTTTAGGGTTTATCGGCGATAATGCGGCGATAAAGGTGATTATCGGCCGATATTAGCAGCTCTAAAATCGGAATTATCGGGTCACATTATTAGGTTATGATTTTGGGTAATGGACAGTTTTTGAGTGAACTTGAAACCCGACACGACCTGTTCTTTACAATAAAACTTAAACTCGATTAAGTAGCTCTAATCCTTTGTTCTCTCTCCCCTCATTTGTGCGGTTGTGCCCACTGCCCTAATCCTCTGACTCTGTTTCTCTTTGGACTCCGTCGACCTTGACGCTCGCCTCCGCCGACTTCGACGCTCGCCTCCGCTCTTCTTCGGACTCCGTTGACCTCAACGCTATCAACTTTGACGCTGCTCTCTCATCAACATTAACTTCATCGACTTGACAACTTCGACTGATGTTGTGCTCTCTCCATCGACGCCATCATCAACTGATCTGATTGACTCGAGGACGTTGAACGTCGCTGAGCTCTCCATCGATGCCGAGCTCTCTCCATCGACGCCATCATCAACTGTGACTTCGAAAGTTTGACTTGGACTCTCCATTGACGCCACGCCCTCAACACAACTTCTGAAGTTGTAGTAACAAATAATATTCACCATTTAGTTGGTTTTTTCTCTAGTTATTTAGTGAAGGTTGAGAGAATGAAAGAGTGGAGTATGGTTAGATTACAATTTGGGGTATTATATTATATATACACAACATACGGTATATCACTCCGATAAATACTACTTATCCCCGATATATCCCCGATTTCCGCTATCCGATAAGGATTTTGGCCGTCCGATAAATCCCCGATAACCGATATTTAAAACCTTGGTTAAGGGGTACATATACAGAAAACCCCTGTATGATTTGTGTGATCTTTCTTCCGAATCCAATATTTTAATCATGTGATCTTTACTAAGCCCTCTCCTGCTCAACTTGTCAGCGTTGTTCTGTTTGCAGATTGTCCTCAAAAACCTGAAAAATATTATTATTGAAACTACTATACGATTTGTTTTTGCAAAACTTTCTTTATGGAACAGATAGACGATAGATGTTGAGCTTTATCAAATAAGCATGACGAAATGAGTTTTACAAGTTGAGCTTTATGAGAAAATGTTTGATGATTGATAGGGCTTTAAAGCTGCTAGCTCTAGGTTGCTAATTTATTGTAAAGATAACTGGAGGAGAGTATTACAAATTGGTCATCTAGCCTTTTGATTATTTCTTAAATTTAAAATCTAAACTATTACAAATAGATTTCTTTTTTAATTCGCAATTATTTTTTCACACACTTTATTTGGTTTTGGTTGCAGTCTTACTAACACAATTAAAAAAAAGAAAAAAAAAGAATGAACAAGACTTTTTCAGTTTCACTTATTTTAAAAATACATTCTGATAGGCGACCAACTCGTATGACTATATTTATGCTTTTGAACTTTAATTGGCAAAAGAGGAAGAAAAAGGAAAGATATATACGGCTCGAAGAGAAGAAATCCTGAAGAGCTAGATGAGTGACACCAACTGCTAGTCACATTGGAGTAGGTGAACCTCACTACTCCTATCTCTTAGAAGATTGTTTTATTATATGAGATGGCAGCTCATATACACTATACCCAATCACTTTTTTATATTTCCTTTGAACTTAGTAATTATGTTTACCTATTGAACTGTAAGAGGTAGTACACAAGGTTTTAAATATCGGATGTCGGGTTCATGTCGGACGGCTGAAATCCATGTCGGATAGCGGAAATCGGGGATATATCGGGGGACATGGACTAAATATCGGATTGCCATATCGGGTGGGCGCATATGCATAATATCATGTCCTAAATGTAATCTAAGCATTCCTAAATTCAATATAAGCATACTTTATAAATTTTATAGACTAGACATAAAAAAGTAAACAATATATGATGTTTAGGATCACTCCATGCATCGGTCATTATCGAGCAACCATTGACAACACAAGTCCTTTTAAAGTTTTCAACAATTTCAAACTGAATCAGCAAAGTGCAAAGTGCAAACTGAATCTGCAATGTGCAAACAGAAATAAATTATCCATTGAGTTGCTACCAGACTATCACATGAAGAAGAAAAAAGAAGAAAAGCAGAAACTCTGTAGAAACTCTATAAAGTTTAAACATGTAATATTTATATCATAAGATGATAAACCCAATCTGTCTTAATTCTGTTCATAATTGCAAACTGTTCATAATTCTGTCTTAAACCCAATTTGTTTTTGAAAACTAAGAGATTCTCGGTTGTTAAACCCAATCTGTCTTAAACCCAATTTGTTAGAAAACAAAATAATTCTCGGTTGTTAGACAAAATGACAAAATGACTAAAAACTAAGAGATTCAATTTCGTTTTCTATAAACCCACATGAAACTTCACAGGACACATAAAAAAAGTCCCAGTACCCACTTGGCCACTTAAACCCAATTCGTTTTCTATAAACCCACAAAAAAAAAGTCCCAGTACCGAATCCACCTATTCTCAAGAGAGGCGCTCAGACTCAGAGAGAGAGAGGGGGGAGAGAGAAGGGGGGAGAGAGAAAGGGGGAGAGAGAGACATACCTCAGGAAGATGCGGTCGAAGATGCGGTGGAACTCGAAGATGCGGTCGGTCGAAGTGCGGTCGGTCGAAGCTGTCGTCGAAGAGGCGCTGAAGATTGAAGGCGGTCGGTCGAAGATGTCGTCGAAGAGGCGCTGAAGATTGCGGCTGACGATGCCCTAGTTTTCTCAAGCGGTGTTTTTCTTTCTCGTTTTCGGCTGAGGGATGATTTCTTTCTCGTTTTCGGCTTCTAAAAATCCCTGAAAAGGTTAGCAGCGGTCAAATGGGTTTGGGTTTTGTGAAAACCCAAACCCAATAAATCAAAAACATCTGTGAACCGATTTTAATAGAAGTCGGCCGATTTTTCAAAGGTGAAAAATCGGCCGACATGTCCGATTTATACCCGATATCTCCGATTTCCTCTTGAAAAACAATATACGACTTGAATTAGCCCGACTCATACCGCTAGACCACCCGATCCGACATATCGGCCGACATGTCCGACATGTCGGCCGATATTTAAAACACTGGTGTTTACACATCCAGAAATTCACGTACCATATGATGTATTAATGATGTGGGCTGTAGGGGCTTTTGGATGTGCACCATATCAGCAACTTACTAACCAAGAAGGTGGGGTGACACACCAGCCCCGTTTACTATATATGTATATATAGTTATCTTAAAGATAAGAAATAAAACTGCTTCATGACCATGGTAATGCTTCCAAACATATGCAATCCCCTCCCCTTTGCGATTTACTGCAATGATCGCTTATATGATTTTATGTCTTATTCTCTTTGATTCAATTATATACTATTCTGAAGTTCTCTGTATTGTGCATAGTCTTTAAAGAGGTTTCTGTTAAGCTTTTGTTACATAGGACCGATCATATATTCTCCAGAGAACATATGCCTTCTATATCCATCGGTATTCTATTTCAAATTATTTGGCAGTTAAAACTCTTAAATGGTTCACATGAAAGCTTCATACACCTTAGCATATTAAAACACTATTCTGATATTTCTGCCACATTACCCTCTGCTTATTTCTATACATTTATCTGTGACCAGATGCAATTCCTTCAAACCATGCCATGCTTTTACAAATAAAAGTTGCAATGAAAGCTATGCCATGGTACTGTGCTCTTCCAACACTGTCAGAGTTCATGGTTGAAAGTGGCTGGACAAGATGCTATTCAAGTGTTAGTGAAGTTGGTTGGCCCTTGTACATCATCTATTTGGTTATATATCTAGTCACTTGCGAGTTTGGGATATATTGGATGCACAGAGAGTTGCATGATATAAAGCCATTATACAAGCATCTTCATGCCACACATCATATTTATAATAAGCAGAACACACTTTCACCATTTGCAGGTAAAAATATTACCATTTCTTTTTCCAAAATGCTAATTGATTCCGAGCAACACTTTTTGGTTAAATATTTACAATAAGCTTTATTTAGTTAAAGGTTTCAAGTTTCATAATTTCATCCATCTTTTCTGGGATGTTCTGCTAGTATAATGTTTAGGACATAATATAGGATGTTTAGTTTGTATCTGTAATCCGTAGATGTGATGATGGAAAAGCGACTTAGCTTTTCTACTGTTCACTTTTGTTTGAGCATGAATCTAAATCTTACAAAAGTCCTTGCAATGCATTCGTGCTAATTTTACTCTAGAACCATCTAGATAATCATGCAGGGGAAAAAGATACCCAATACAGTACCCATATTCTCAGTAACTCCATTAGTAATCTTAATATTTTCAGCCAAACAACACTGTTTATTAAATCAATTTTGAGAGAAACTTATCTACATAGAATGTGGTATTTATTGCCAATGTGTTGTGAAGTTTAATGGATGACTTTTGTTTATGGGATGTGTTCTAAACGATTTTATTTACTAAGGATATTGTGTGATTAATATTTTGTGTATAAAATTTGATTGATGCTTCCATATATCCCTTGTTCCATTATGGACCTCACACATGTATACGTACAATTGAAGTAAAATGTCCTCATCTCTCCAACTTTTTTTCCCTACTCGCTTTTTTATATCAGAACACACATGCAGGAGCACACATACAATTATATATTTAGGACACTGGCCCGTGAGAGTACATATGCAACATTAGTAGTAAAGCAGAGGTTTTCAGACTGGTTGCAACTTGCTCAGAAGGGTTTTGAAGCATCAACACTTGAGTTATTTGAGTTGGGTTCAAGAGAAGGACGGGGGATGGTTTTGCATAGAGTTAAATTTGATATATAGAGTTTAAATTGGATCCAGACATAAAGCATATATCCAATGCATCAGGATCATCAGTTATTCAAGTGATTGGGTCAGGACGGTTTCCCATTTTGCGAAGATATATTACTTCACTTAGAAAGTTAAGGTTGCTGATCTTCTTCAGATATGTATCTGATATTGCCCAGAACCTACCTATATTTAATGTGGGTTTAGTTGCTTGCGGTTGGCTCTTCAGTGCACTGAGTGCAGTACCAAATGCATGCAATACAGTATCACGGACTTTTACGTAGGATATGCCTATGATGATTTTTTTTTCTATGTAGTATTAGTAGTTTATTATCTTTATGCCAAGCTAGCAGAAGAGTTCTCATTTCAGAGAAGCTACTAAATAGTTTTCTTCTGGAAGTTGTTCCCTTTAATTGATTTTTACATGCATTATTACATTAATGCTGTTGATGTTTCCTTCACGCTGTATGCTGGACTCATTTAGTAGTCACCAGGCACATACCATTATATGATAATAATTCTTTTTGCTATCTGGCCTAATGGGTTGAATATAGAAACATGAAATTAACCTAGAAGGTGCCATTTAAATAACTGATGCGAAACTATACCCATCACAGATTGGTTATGATGGATCGGCATAGGTCTGGTGAAATGTTAGGGAACTTTAAACCTCAGATTGTTTTGGGTGTGCTCTCCAGCTTTTCTTTACCAATTTTGATTTGAAGACTGGTCAAACTCCAAAATTTCTCTTCTTAGGTATATTAGGAAATTTATCAACCCCCTTCCCTAAAAAATTTTCCGATTTGAAAAGTTCAATCCCTTGAATTTCTCTTGTTAGTTTGAGGAAATACCAATTCATAACCATTTTCTCATTGTTTATATCAGCAAACCAAGCAATTTTGTTGCCAGCCAATTAAGATAAAAATTATCAAGTATATGGACAATTCTCTATTTCATTAGAGGCCTATAAGAACAAGATTTAAAAATCACTGCACCACCATATTTATACAAAGTTACATGACAGATATAAAAAAGAATATGAATAATTGTAATATTGACATCATTTTTTATATTCTAGTTTCTTTGTTTGTATGCGAATATGACCTTTAAGATTGTTATATAATAATGTATGTTGCTTTTTTTCCTACTAGGGTTTAATAAACATTGAATGATATTTTACTCCCCTAGCATTATAATTTAGATCAACATAAATGTTCTATGATCTAATCTTTATATGACAGTAAACAGATTCATGTTATATTTGTCTGACTGATTTTTACCAAGTTATTCGCTATCAGCGCTACAAATGATTCATAAAAGTCACATTCTTTTAATCAGAAATTTTAGCTTTTCGAGTTCTTATTTGGGCCCAATGTAGGATTTGAACACTGGCATGTTACTCAACTGTTATACCCCCAAGAGCTCTGCACAGTTCATTTCCTTATATATTGGTAACAGAGTTTTCTGTATGCATCAAAATAGTAATGTCTCATTGCTATCTATTTTGTAGAACCAATCTTTTGATAACTAGTTCCAGAATTGACATAATATCTTTCACAAATTCCAAAATTTGAAACTCGCCAAATTACTTCCTACCCCGAATACGGAACTATATTCATAGCAGACTGATGATAAGTTTCTCCACCCTTCATAACTTTTCTACTGGTTTTCATTAAATTATACTATATATTAAAGTTCATGGGGATGAACAGTGCTTATTCCCTACAACTAGAAGACAACGTAGTCATTGGAATGACTAAGATTAGAATCAAGTGGTACAGAGTTCAAATTTGGGCAAGACCAAAAGTTTTTGTAAATTTTTTCAACTACAAACCCAAAGTCTTACTTCCATTTATTTTTAAACCCATACATGAGTATTTTTTGGCCTATATACCTAATGCTTTAAACCCCCATTACTTTTTGAGTCCCTCCTCTTCCAAAATTTTAATATGGGGTTTTTGCCTATAAACCCAAAGTTATAGCCCAATTTACTTTTGAGCCAACCTTTTCAAAGATTCTTTTGTCTATAAACCAAAAGTTTTATCTCTATCAACATTTTAAATATTGGTTATCGGAAATATATTGGATAACTAAAATTCATATCAGATCCCAATTATCAGGATATATCGGGGATGAGTAGTAAAAACCGGAGTCTTATATCGGATGGAGTGCATATATAATATAATATCTTAAAATCTAATCTAAGCCTATTTAATGAAAAATAAACATACTAATACGCAAATAACACATGTTTATGATCACATCAATTTTTTTTGTTTAGTGGATGCAAAATAGAATAGAATAGCATTATTTTTGTTTAGTATATGCGGGTTGGGTATGGAAAAAAAAGGGTTTTGTCCCCAAACCCGAACTAGTTCACTTAGAATGTAAATTGTAGAAAATTGGGCGATTTTTAGTCCACGAGAAATCGGCCGCTTTATTGAATTTACACCAATATATCAGGAAAAATTGACCCAAAACTATATGCGATATATTTTTACAAAAATCGTATCGGCCAAGCCCAAACCCTACATATCGGCAATAAATCGATAAAATCGGCGTATTTTTAAAACACCGATCTCTATTTATTTTAACCCTGCCCACTTTCAAAGAGGACTTTTTGCCAATGAACCTAAAGTTGTATCCCTATTTATTTTTAAACTTACCTGCTTCCAATTCACTCTTAGACTTAAAACACTTTAGAAAACTAATTTTAAACCCACTTTATAATTTAGCAGTTTGGTTTACATTGTAAGGAAGAATTTTAACAGCTTGGTATAAGTTGTAAGGTGCTATATTCCTATAACTTAGGCGCTATATTCCAGTAGAATACTATATTTTTGTTCCAAGTGATTAGTTATGTGATGCATTTTTAAACAAAATGCTTATACTATTATTTCTCTTTTCACACTAATGTCGCGTCATATAGATTATTTTTGCTTATAAACTCATAAATTTTCATTTTTTTAGAACTCACCCACTTCTAAAAAGAGTATTGTCCATAAACCAAAGTTTTATGCTCATATGTTTTTAGACCCACCCACTTTCGACCTAAAATGTTTAATCAATTTAAATTTAAATTTACTTTGTATTTCAATAGTTTTATATGGCAGGGCAAGTTGTTATATTTTTGGTGTACAATTTATTTTAAAACAGATTCTTTGGTCATTATTTGTCTTGACCTTTTATAATTTACTTAAATTACTTTTGTATTTTAGTAGTTTTATATAGCTAGTTGTACAATTTATTTTAAAACAGATGCTTAGGTCATTATTTATCTTGACCTTTTACAACTAATGACACATCATCATGGGTTAATGTTGCTCGATCTTACTATAGTTCCTTAAAGAACTGCACACTCTGAACTATATACTTTTGTCTACATTAATTATCATTTAACTTGGGTTAATTGAGAATAGACCCCTTGCACGATAACCCAATTGCATATAGATGCCTAATAGATCTATTCTTGCAGATACATTCCTGACTCTTTTACCTACCAGCTATGTTGCATGGGTACAGGTTCGGGTGTGGATACCTGTACGGGTACGGGACACGGGAAATTTGTAAAAGGTAGGGTACATGGACATGGTTATATAAATATTTATATACACATATACTATATAGCGGAATTAATAATTTATATGAGAACAAGGATGATAATTAAAACTCCTATAACAATTTCGTGTTTCTTTTATTATGTGGATTATAAATTGGAAAAATTACTAGTTTTTAAACTAGACATCCAAACAACCCTTCAAAATTATAATTCGGAAGCTGAGCTATGTCCAACGAGTTTCGAGAAGTAGATGTGAAATGTAGGATATGTCTAGAAAATGTATTACAAGTGTTTTAAATTAAAACATGTATTGTATAGTTGAGTACATACCCGAATAAATGTATGTATATATGCGAGGAGTGTTCAAGAAGTTTGAATACAGGTACTGGAACGGATATGTGTCGGGCATGGGTACAGCTTCATATTAGAAGTACCTGGTAACATAGTCTACAGGCGATCTATTTGTCGAAAAGCAAATTTCTTTTTCTGCAAGGGTGGCGATAGTTCAAGGGTTGATCTGCAATTAACCCTAGATTTAAACTATACGTCATAAGATTCTGTTATTTGGTGCTGCATATCGACCATCCATTTTGTTTTCCAGGTTTAGCCTTCCATCCCTTGGACGGGATCCTGCAAGCCGTTCCTCATGTCATATGCCTGTTTCTTGTACCCACTCATTTCATGACCCACATCGCACTATTGTTCATCGAGGCAGTTTGGACAGCCAACATTCATGACTGCATTCATGGCAAGATATGGCCTGTTATGGGTGCCGGTTACCATACTATTCACCATACAACCTATCGCCACAACTACGGGCATTATACTATATGGATGGACTGGATGTTTGGAACTCTTCGCGATCCTGAGGAGGATGTCAATAAGGTGAAGTGATAGTGGTTTTTGGCTATGTGATTGATAAGTTGAACTACTGTCTTTGTATTGTCTTAAGCCTACCTTATGATATCTCAGAGATCCTTGAGGATTATGTAGGAAGATGGAACTCTATTGAACATCAGGTATTTAAGGTTACTACAAATGGACAGTAAACTGAATGGTTTATTAGATGAATTGGTATAAACTTCTAATAATGATATTGTCGTTGTATATCAGCTTGTTGTTCTGTTTGCTTGATGTGACAATAATTGCACAAACAGGAGTACATGACATTGCTCTTGGCTATCTGATCTTCTAGCTAAACTACTACTTTGTGTACTGTATTAAGCCTACTGTATGACTCTATAGAGATCCTTGAAGATTATGTAGGCAGGAGGCCTGTCCATCCGGCCCGGGCCCGGTTAGATTATGTAGGAAGGAGGCCTGTCCATTCGGCCCGGCCCGGAAAAGGAAGGAGGCCGGTCCATCCGGCCCGGCCCGGAAAACCGGGCCCGGGCTCCGGGCTGGCCCGGGTTTTGTTTGTTTTTTTAAAAAAATTTAAAAATCTTTTTAAAATTTAAAATATATATAAAACATTACAAAAATTACAAAAAATAAAAATAAAAACAATCTTATTATTAATAACTTGAAGTGACATAAATTACAAATACAAAAAATTATAAAAATAAAAGATGATAAAAATAACTTTTTTATTAATAATCAATAAATCTTTTTACATGTATAAATTTATTTCGGAATTTGTCGCATCACAATAGATGAGTACATCCCAACTAGGGATGGCAAATGGATGGTTTTGGTTGGGTTTTGGTTGGGTCATAAATGGGTGGGCACATTTATGACCACTTAACCATTTATGACCCATTTAGCACTTGCTAAATGGGTTGGTTCTCATCCACCCATTTACTAAATGAGTGGTTCATGGGTAACCCAATAACCCATTTAGTTATGATTATGATGCTTCTATATATATGTAAGTTTCAGGGATCTACTTGCAAACTTTCAGGGGTTTTTGGCAAACTTTCAGGGGGGTTTTCTGCAAACTTTTAGGGGGTTTTCTATAAACTTTTAGGGGTTTTTTTGTAAACTTTCAGGGGGTTTTTCGCAAACTTTTAGGAGGTTTTTTGCAAACTTTCAGGGGGTTTTCTGCAAACTTTCAGGGGGGTTTTTGTAAACTTTTATGGGGGTTTTCTGCAAACTTTTAGGGGGTTTTCTGTAAACTTTCATGCGGTTTTCTGCAAACTTTCAGGGGGGTTTCTGTAAACTTTCAGGGGGTTTTTTGCAAACTTTTAGGTGGTTTTTTGTAAACTTTCAGGGGGTTTTCTGCAAACTTTCAGGGGGTTTTCTGCAAACTTTCAGGGGGTTTTCTGCAAACTTTCAGGGGGTTTTTTGCAAACTTTTAGGGGTTTTCTGCAAACTTTCAGGGTGTTTTCTGTAAATTTTTAGGGGGTTTTCTGTATACTTTCAGGGGGTTTTTTGCAAACTTTTAGGGGGGTTTAGTAAACTTTTAGGGGGTTTTTGCAAACTTTTAGGGGGTTTTTACAAACTTTCAGGGGTTTTATGTAAACTTTCAGGGGGTTTTTTGTAAACTTTTAGGGTGTTTTTTGAAAACTTTTAGGGGGTTTTCTACAAACTTTTAGGAGATTTTCTACAAACTTTCAGGGGGTTTTCTATAAAAATTTCTTTCTCAATTGAATCGACTACTTCAGAAAATTAGGACAGAATTGTGAGGAAAAGAAGCAAATGATGACGGGGCTGAGCAAAAGAAGAGATGGACTCGTAACAAGTCTAGTTTACTACCTGCTCGGTTATTTAAAAAAAGCCCTTACTTTGGTCATGTGACAAATTACACTTGGCCGCATACGCATATATCTCCTGCCGACGAAGAATTATAAGCGCCTATTTTTTATATTTATATATCATTGAGGGTGTTTTTTGTAATTTTTAAAAGTTTGAGGGTGTTACTTGCAAATTTGATATTTATAGGGGACTACCGAAATTTTTTAGATTTCATGTGTCATTTGCAAGTTTAGAAAATTCTAAGATTGTTTTGTAGTTTTGAATTCTTGAGGGTGTTTTTTGCAATTTTTAAACTTTGAGGGTGCTTTTTGTAAATTATAAATTTACAGGGGGTTGCTAGTAATTTTTGGATTCTATGTGTCATTTGTAGGTTTTGAAATTTCAGGATGGTTTTGTAATTCTAAACTATGCAGGGTGTTTTTCTAAAAATTTAAAACTTTGAGGGTGTTAATTGTAAATTTTAAATTTATAGGTGCCTATTAAAATTTTTTAGATTTCATATGTCATTTGCAAGTTTAGAAAACTCTAAGATTGTTTAGTAATTTTGAAGTCTTGAGGGTGTTTTTCTCATTTTCTACAACTTTTAAGGGTGTTTTTGCAAATTATAAAATTTCAGGGGGCTGTTGGTAATTTTTGAATTTCATGTGTCATCTGTGAGGTTAGAAAATTTTGATAGTTTTTTTTATAATTTTTAACTCTTGAGGGCGTTTTTATAATATTTTAAACTTTGAGGGTGTTTTTTGCAAATCTCAAAATTTTAAGGGGTTTTAGTCATTTTAAGTGTTTTCTATAATTTTTAACTTTTGAAAATAAGTTTTGTAATTGTTTAAGCGTTGAGGGTGTTTTTAAAATAATATCCATCTAAACGGGTAAATGGGTGGGTAATAACCCACCCATTAATGACTCATTTATCTTTAATAGAAACTATACCCACCCATTTATGGCCCATTTAACTAAATGGGTGGGTTTGTATGGTTCATTTGGCGGGTGGGTATGGGTGGGCAATTGGTTTTGGGTTCATTTTGCCATCCCTAATCCCAACTAGGTTGGCACCTACTCACCTATATCACTATCATTTGTAACTATTTTTAAAATAATTCATTACACATTTAAAGCTAAGAAATAAAAATTACAATTTGATGAATATTGTTTAATCTTTATATCTATCTGCTAGTCCCAACTTTTTAAATTTATCTTCAATTCTAGCCATCTGATCAATGTCTTGCGTTCGCTTCTCGTACCTTCACCAATTTTGTAAGCACATTATCGCTTGTACAATATACTGATCTAAGCATGTCATGTGGTCGTCTATCAAATATCCTGCTATGCTGAAGGCGGGTTCCGAAGCTACCGTCAAAACCTGCACTGTTAGTAAGTCACGAACCATGGTGGAAAGTATAGGATATGAAACTGATCTATATACTCTCCACCATTACAAAATATCTAAAGCATATCCTTGACATTTCACTAAAGAAGCTGATAAATATTCATCTATTTCAGAAACCTCCAACGATGATCCAAGTCTAGACCCACCAGTTAGCTTAGCTACCATTGCATGCATATCAAAACTTACACTTTTACCTCAGCTTGAGCTCGAAGGTGCCGAAGCTGCAGATTGTTGTGCAGCTACACCATATCTAGCTGCATACTCATCATATAATGTTTGAAAATAATTTCTAATAGCTAAATGATGAGAAGTAGCAGTAAGGGTGGATCCATCATCTAAGTCTATAATCTGTCCACCATACTATGATTGTAACAAACTTCGAAGGCCAATATCCTTCAAACATGGATCAATAAGAACCCCTAAACCAAAAATATGAGGAGTAGGCCTAAAACACTTATTAAATTTGCTCTCCATTTGAAAAAGTATAGCTCCAAAAGTATCATTCATACGATATTTGGCAAAAAAAATTTTAATATTTAAAATTTATAGAGCAGCTAAAGTAATAGTTCGATAATAACAACCAGATAATAACATAGTAGCATCATAAAAACTTGTAACATCTCATTTAAATTACATATAATTGTCCATTCATCTTCAGTTATTCCATAAGTGCTACCAGAGCTAGAACTAGAAGCATAATAATTTGTAAAATCATTTATAATTTCTTTATATTCTATTGCCACACTTAACATTGCATAGGTGGAATTCCACCTATGGTCAACGTCTTTTGGAATTAGTCTAGTCTTAATATTTTTTTTACACATTTGTTTTCATCTTTTAAGTTGTTGTTCAGAAGCAGTATGCATATAAGCAACTGTTCTAACCTTTTCTATCATGAGTTTAATTTCAGTAAATGCACTTTGAACAATTAAATTTAAAATATGACATATACATTTAATATGAAAAAGTTCACCATGACAGGGCAACGACAAAGTTATTTTGAGAAAATCTACAGCTACATTGTTATTACTTGCATTATCTAGTGAAAGAGAAAATATTCTTTGATCAATTTCTAGTTTCGTAAGTTCTTCAACTATTAAATTGGCTACATTAATACCAGTATGTGACTCTTTAACTGCAATAAAAGAAACAACTCTTTTAAACATTTGCCAATTTTTATCAATCCAGTGTGTTATGATGCATAAATAACCTGTTTGTGCTTTAGATGTCCAAATATCAGAAGTTAAAGAAAATTTACGGTTTAAATTTTTAAAATAAGAAATTATTTTTCCTTGTTTCGTTTGATAATGTTTTAAAATGTCACGTTGACAGGTTTGACGAGAATTTTTTATAAAATCAGGATAAAAACCATCTCTAAACAAATCTTCAAATTCATCATCTTCTACTAATTTAAAAGGAAGATTTTTAAGAATGATAAACCTGATGATGTATTTCCTGGCTCAGGCAGCATCATAATTCCAAGTACCGAGACTACCAGAAGAGGAGGATTGGGAAATCATAGATTGTCGGATATCATTTTGAGGAGTCTGGCCTTTGTTGTGTTTTTTATATGACGTTTGAGGTGGTTGGTGCCGCTCTTATGATGAGCTTGGAAAATTCGGCCGCACAACGCATATTTAGCCTTCTGGGTGAGGATCCTACCGTGTTCATCATTGGTGATGTCTATCTTCTCAAAAAAAAATTCACACATCGGATCTCGGCCTTTTAGGAGCTCTTGGTGCAGATTTGTCGTCACCGGATTCGGGATTACCAATGGTAGGATCGGTAGGAGGAGTAGCTGTTGTTGTAGGAGGACTTATTTTAATATCGGTAGGAGATAGATTTTGCTCTTCATAATCAGATTCAGAAGCCATTTAATGAAAGGATTAGAAAGTATAAGGGATTATAAGAGAGTATAAGATTGTATAAGAGAGTATTAGAGAGAAGTAGATGAGTTTTGGTGTGAGGAGAAGAAGTAAAAACCCCCTCTATTTATAGAGAGAGCCTCCTATGCAAATGACCAAAAAACTCTCACCAAATAGCCGATTTTTGACCGTTGTAAGGGGCAAAACGGTCAAAACACCAAAA